TGACGAGCGGCGCAGGGAGCATGCGTGGTCCGGCCCGATATGGCTAGGAAAACTCCCGATCAGTGGCACTGGGACGGACCCGACACCTAGAGTGGAGCACCCACGGGGCACATCTTGAAGAACCATCGTTACTACACAAGGTGAGTAACTTCCTCTTCTGGGGCTTCTGTCATATGATCTTGTGTCTCTGTGGGTCAGATGCATCTCTGTTGTATCACCACTGACTTCAGCTGAGTTATACCAAGGAATAATATGGCCCCTCCGTGCTTAATAATAACTCCAACATTTGACAGAGAATCTCTAATTAATATTTACAAAGTTCATGTGTGAAAGTCTGCCCCCTTCTGAAGTCATTGGGAATAATTTACCATTGAGTTCAGTGGGGCCGGGATGACATCATCTTAAAGAAAATAAGAAGGCAAGTTTAAAATTGTGGCAGCCCAGTAACTGGTAGTTGGACAGTGTACAATGATGAAAGGACTAAGTCACATTTGAATCCTGCAAGATATTCAAGACTACTGCATTAACCCACTGGGCCATTTACAGTCTGTCATTCTGATTGGTTTTTTGTTGTTGTTTGTTTAACAGCTGAACTTTGTTCGATATTATCTCCCCCTGCTGATCCATAAACATGATAAAGTCATATATTTGGATGATGATGTGATTGTGCAAGGTAGGCTGTCCTTCACAAAATCTTGAAAAGTAGCAGAAGTTTGCAACAGGAAGTTCAGCTGCTTTAATGCTCGCCAGGAAATGTGAGATCTGTTTGAAATTGAGGACGTTGTTTGGGGGGGCTGCACTTGTGACAGCTCCACACTTACCAAAAGAAAACCAAAGGGACAATTTCTAATTGTGGATGTTTGTTCCTGGATCAGAGGGGTATGGGTGACTTTCAGTGTTTATTGGATCTGATCAGTTGCTGTGGGCTTGAGTGTACAAGGCAAACCCGAAACAAGTGGTTTCACTAGAACAGGCAGCAATACTCGTTAAACAGAAGGACTTGACGTTTCCTATTTTGTTTGGTAAAAGTGCAGAGGACTTGAATCCCCACAAATGCTAGCACCAAATAACTGCTTATTTTTGAGAGATAAGAATTTACACAAATCAGGCTGTAAAAGACCCTGGACCCTGTTCTGAACACCTTCAGCCCCTTTTTATATACATAGGAGCTAAGGGTTCACAGCACCACACAGACTCAGGCTCATTGATAGCAGTAGGATATGGTTAATAAGGACAGATCAGGAAACAGTTCAAAGGCGGGAAAATCCCTCCACCTCTATGTAAGGGGACTGTTGATCCCTTACTAAAACTCAGTGGGGGGCTTAGTTGGCTACTTCCCAGTATCAAAAGACAGGGGAAGAGTCTTTGAGAAATCAGGAACTTGAGACTGAGAGCCACCAGAAACAATGGAAAGAGGCCAGCGCTCTAGGTCAACCTGCTTGACAGAGTGGGCAGGCCAATAAGGGAGTGAGGAGTCTGGGGGAGAGTCCGGTCCTTCGTGCTCCTGTGTGAGCTGGGTTTTGGCTGGGTCAGACTGAGTGGGGCAGAGCTAAGGAGACGTGTGTGTGCGTGTGTGCGTGTGCGTGTGTGTGTGTGTGTGTAAAAGTAACCGAGAGTATTAACCAATGAACTCAGGCGCATCTGTTAACTGTGTACTTGGATACAGGACATAAAGGGAAAGGGACACAGTCCCCCATCCAGAGGCAAGGTACACACATGCACATCTGTGCAACCAACCTACTGATTGAAACCAATGCCCATAGAGCTAAAATCTACTTTCCTTACACCCAGGCAATCCCTTGAAGTTGGTAGGATTATGCCGGTGAAACTGAGAACAGATATTGTCCTAAAGAGTCTGAAAGACAGATACATGGCAAGGAAACAAACCCATTCTTAAAATCACAATTTTGTATTATCAGGTGACATCCAGGAGCTGTATGACACAAAGTTAGCTCCAGGCCATGCTGCAGCTTTTTCAGATGATTGTGATTTGCCTTCTACTCATGAAATGGTGAGAAGCGTAGGAATGCAGGTAAGATGTTATTTTTAAATTCAACATCTTGATGGACTTTTACCTACAGATTTCACAGGATTTCCCACATCCCAAAATGACAGTTCTCTCGGGGTAAAATGAAGGATTAGAATTTAGGTACCTAGTTTATGAAGAGGAATTGTTACGGGTAATCGTCTTAAGATGTGCTGATTCTTGCAGTATGTTTTGCTCCTGATTCTTGTGCAGTATGCTTTGTATTTTACTAAATGCTTCTTGTTTTGGTAGGTCTCATTTGCCACATATTTAGAAGAAAGTATCGGTAGAATATCAAACTTTCCAATAGCTGAGAGGTCTGCTCAAAAGATATTGTTTGAAAACCAAATTCTAGGTGGTACTCAGTATCTGCAGCTGCCATTAAAGTCCAGTAGTCTTATGTTAACCACATTGGTCTTATGCTAGATCACCTAAGCTACATCTAGACTGCAAGCCTCTTTCGAAAGAGGCTTTTTCAAAAGATACTTTCGAAAAAGCCTCTTTCGAAAAAGAGCGTCTAGACTGTAAGCAGTACTTTTGAAAAAGCAAGCTGCTTTTTCGAAAGAAAGCACCCAGGCAGTCTGGACACTCTCTTCCGAAAAAGCCTTGTTTGCATTCGAGAACGCCTTTTTTTTTGAATTGTTTACATTCGAGAACGCCTTTTTTTTGAAAGAGCACTTTCGAAAAAAGGCGTTCTTCCTCGTGAAATGAGGTTTTCTGCTGTCAAAAGAAAAGCCGCGTTCTTTCAATTTAATTTCGAAAGAACGCGGCTGTAGTCTAGACGCAGGTGAAGTTTTTTCAAAAAAAGGCTACTTTTTTCGAAAAAACCCTTGAGTCTGGACACAGCCCTAGAGTGAGGTGTAGCGGGCCAAAAGACGAGGGCCAAAAGACAAAGACCTGTAGGATTCTCATGGAAATATGTCTAATACATAATGATTAGAATATCCTGTCCTTCAGCCTTGTGCCATTCTCTGCAGTCAAGATAGGTCATAATCATCTAGAAGCCCAGTACTCAGAGTTTTTCTTTCAGTGCCTGTGTATTCTGCATGTGAGTGAGGTAGATACAGCAGCATCTAAACATATCTAGATATAAATTAGATTTATAGTAGAAATATATGTATTATATAACATTTTCCTTCTTTCTAGAACACATACATGGGATATCTAGACTATCGAAAGCAAACAATTAGAGATCTTGGCATCAGCCCCAGCACCTGCTCCTTTAATCCAGGAGTAATTGTGGCTAATATGACAGAATGGAAGCACCAACGGATTACAAAGCAATTAGAAAAATGGATGCAAAGAAATGTAGAGTATGTACAGATCTTGTAGTCTTCACTTTATTCTGACTGAATGTGCTGTTTAAAGATGTATTTTCTGTTCATTTTCCAAAGGTCCAATATTTAAGTGCTTCCCATCACAGATCATTATGCAAAATAAGCTATGTTGCATGATCTCCACTTGTTTTAATCAAACCATGCAGTCACAAACAACAAAAAGTGATCACTTGGGATTCTGTAGTCTTGTGTTGACTCAACAAGCCAGGTCTAATCCTGAGAGGTGCTGAGCACAAGCAGTTTTCATTGTAGGTGATCAGCACCATTCAGGATCAGGCTGCTTATGGGCAGGCTGATCTCTTCTTGCAATAAGATCAGTGTGGAAAGAAACTCTTGGATCTTATTTGGGGCCTTACAAACTGTTAGTAAGTAGTACAGGGAAGAGGCCAAATTTTTATTTAACGCTGGAACCACTTCTCAAACACCAGTGAAAATTCCATTTTGTTGTTAGAAAAATGAGAAATTTTACAGAAATTTAAAAAAAAATTAAGAAAAAGACCCAACCCCCAGAAGCTGTAAAAGTGGCAATTCCAGTATGCGAGAGGGATGGGGATGGCTCTTTACCACATTAACCAAGGTACAGTCAGTGACATGAGTCTATTCACAAAGTATTTGTGGTCTCAATTCATTATCAGGATATGTAGGTAACTTGAATATTACCTGATGTACTCTGCATAAGGTAACTCAGACTGCAGTAAAGCAGAGCTGAAACTAAAATGGATCATACAGTTGGTCATTTGTCAGATTTCTGCTACCCTGGGAAAGCAAATGAAAGTGGGGGAAGGAAGTACACAGAACTAGAGGAGGAAAAATAATATCCTGAGGCCAAAAGCTATAACCACTTGCATATGAACAGAAGAGGAATGTAAACAGAGGCCTTCCCCAGTGTCTCTGTTTACTTTCACTTATTCTGCATGTCTCATTTGGCCTAACACTTGATTTTATCCCTTTTTAATGCTTAGAAAAATACCCATGAACTCTACAGCAAATTGATGCAAAGATGCAACAAAGGCTATGTACATTTTAAAGTCCACACACATTCTTGTACCTGGAAAGTGAGCCCACAATAAAAACACATTCAGGTCTCATGTGGACCATTTTGCATCTGTAAATTCGGTGCCAGGCATTTAGACTGTAGGCACTTCCAAACAGGGGCTGGCTTCATTTTGGCTTGGGTTCTGCTATGCTCAGATTGAGTAGCCCCTCACTTTGGGTGCAGCTACACAGCACCCTAAACTCGAAATAAGATACACAAATTGTGTATCTTATTTCGATTATATTTTGAAATAAGTTATTTCGAAATTTGGTGTGGCTACACAGTGCCAAATTTTGAAATAACGTGCTATTTCCAGTATCCCAAAATAGCCCTGCTGTCTAGACATACCCTTTGAGAGGAATCCAAAGATATCAATTCTGCCACTATGTGGCATCCTATTGATTTTTCTGGGACTACTTATAGCGAAAGAGACTACTAAGCATGAGTAAGAGTGGTAGAGTTTGACCAGATTTCTTGTGCAGCACCCAAATATGGTCCACAATTAAAAGAAAAAAAATCTGTAAAGTGTTGGCATGCCAGTAAAAAGGTGCATATTTAAAATTAGGTAAACAATTAGCATTTCAGTCTATACAAAGAAGATTTTAATAGTAAACTAGGCAGTGCATTAGTATATATTGCTTTTTGCCTTCTGGTTGTGTAGTAAAGATCCTTTTCATTTCAGGATTTTGAGCTGCACTTTTTTGCTTCTTTACAGAGAAAACCTCTACAGCAGCACACTTGGGGGAGGCGTGGCCACCCCTCCAATGCTCATTGTATTCCATGGAAAATATTCTACTATTAAACCCTTGTGGCACGTACGACATCTTGGTAAGTATGTTTCATCACAAAACAATCGAGGCTGGAACAAAATACAATAAGACTTAAGGAATCTATGGATGATTTTGCTCATCCTCTGTACACTACTTTATCCCACATCGCTGCTCTACACTTATTTTAACCCTTCCTTATAGATATAAAATTAGCTTTTATTCAGGGGCAGAGAAGTAGTTTCAAGCTAAATCACCAATAGCAGCCCTTAGCCTGGGATTAAAGGTGGGATAGCTGTTTTACATAGAGATAGGCCAGTATGATTGGGCTATGTACTACAATACAACTATATAAAAGGAAAGTATTTCACACTGGAAGATGAGACCTAACTGAAGAGGCAGCTGAAACTGACTTAGGCCTTGTCCAAATCTCTGGAGCATACTGAGTATGAAGACAGCCAGCAAACATAGGAAACTTCATATTTGGGTCAGATGGGATCCACCCACCGTAAGGTACAAATCCAGTCTATTGAAAATAACCCTTAAAAGAAGGGACTTTAGTTTAACTATCCAAAAGTGCACTAAAGATGAATGTTTGAGATTGGTAGTTCACCTAGGAATGAAAAAAGATAGAGGAGGGGAATCAGCAAAATATTTAGCAGTTAAGGTTACTTATTGATTTATGACAAATTCCTTCTTCCAGATGGATGTAAGTGCATGGCTACTCCTCCCTATCAGTCTGAGAGAGGCCAGGCCCTCTTGCTGTCTCATTCCAAAAAAGACAGTCTGAAACGGTGGGGGAATTAGCTGTCTCTGGGGCTCAAGCCCTTCAGCAGGGTGGAGCAGTGCTCAATTGAGGGACTCTGGCAAGGTGGGGAAGTGAATAGTCCAGTGTCCTAGCTCTGGCTAATACATATCTCATGGCCTAATGGGGAGAGGCTGCTACCCCAAGGGTGGAGAGAGACAGTGGGACCTAGTCCCAGACCAGGGCCCTAACACTGGTGGAGTGTCCCACCATTGGGTCAGCAGGGAATCTAGCCACAACATGCTGACCTGGGTTCAGGAAACAACACAGCAGGACTAGTGTCAGCTGTCCCTGGGTTACTTCTAACCCTCCCTTTGAGGTGTACCTGAACAGTGTTCCCTATAAGCCAAGCCCCTTGGGCAGCCACCCAGGAGAGTTTCAAATGCTGCCCATATGATTAGCAGAGCACCCTCAGCTGGCAGCATGTGGTTCTGCTGGTGGTGCACATCCACACGTCTTGGTCATGTACAATTCATGTCACACATGGATGGAAAAGAAATTAGAATGCTGAGGACAACCCTGAGATCAGGTACAGTCACCCTGAGACACATGGCCAGTGGCAATTCCAGCAGCTTCAAAGCATCTCACATGCCTTGCAGCTCTGGTGGGACTTCGGGACTGTGGCGGTCTGTTGTAGGCTCCTGGTCCAGCAGTGGGTTGGAAGCATCTGTCTTCCTCAGTGGTTCCAGCTCAGAGCTTCATTGCCCACCTTTTGTACTTCCGGTCTCACTTGTTTCCAGCAGCGCGAGCCTGGCCTTCCTGGCTCTGTCCACTAGGGGGCAGGCCATAGTTCCATCTAAGCAATTTTGGAGGGAGGCCATGCACCCTCAAAGGCAAATGTTATAGTGGCATGTACCTGCAGCAGTAACATTTTTCTATAATCCTCCACTTTCATCATAATCAAAGACTTATTTAGAATGGGGGTGGGGAACGTATGGCCTGGGGGTCAGTTGTGGCCTCTGGCTTGCCTGGATCCAGAACCTGCGGCTCAGGGCTTCCCTCTAGCCCCCCCCCCCTTCACTCATCCTCTATGCAGCTGAAGCACACAAAATCTACTAGCCTGGTCTTCCCCCAGGCTCTGGTGAGGGGAATGTGTGAAGTGTCTTTCTTCTTGGTTGGAGGCCACATCAATGAAGGTTTGATTTATTTTGTGTGTGTTTCTCACTTATGTGCAGCCCCCCCACTGATTTTCTTAGAGTCAGGGGCCCCCAACCCAAAAAGGGTTCTCCACCCTGATTTAGAACAATGTAGGATTAGGGCATCAAGAGTTGATCTGAGCAGTATGCGGAGGGTTACCGCCGTCTGTTTGTAAAGCAGCATGTAGAGCACATCATTTTGACTGACCAATACTGGAAACTAGACAGGTCAGAGGAGGCATTCCCCTTAATTGTTGCCACCCCTGAGCGGATTGAATTTTGTCATGTGCACCACTGGGAAGGTGATCTGTGACCTATCACATTCATATTGGTGCACATGACAAAATTCATGGGGCAAAGGGGACCATAGTGTGAGGGAGAGGCTCAGGCCTGGGTCAGAGGTTTGGTGCACAGGAGTGTGGGGGCTCTGGCTGGGGCAGAGACTTTGTGTGCAAGGGGCTCTGGGGCTGAAGGGTTTAGGTGCAGGAGGGGGCTTCAGGCTGGGAGGTGGGGCCAAAGGATTCAGAATTCCAGAAGGGGCCGTGGGTTGAGGTTGTTGGGGATTGGGTGCAGCAGGGGATGAGGTCTGTGGGTTGGGTGTGTGTGGACTCTGGGGTGGTGTTGATTTTTGGTGCAGGAGGCAGCTCTGGGCTTGGGGAAAGCTCAGGCTTCCCTGGGTGGCTTGTGGTCAGCAGCCCTAAAGGCAGGCTGTCTGGTTTCTGCCTATCCTGAGGCATCACTCTGCACCCTGGAAGCTGCTAGCAGGTCCAACTATTGGGAGGAGGAAAGGATGAGGCTCCATAGCAGGGGTCTCCAATCTTTTTATGCACTTTTTGAATTTAAGTGCAATGTAAGATCTACCTCAAACCCAAATACCTTGACCCCACCGCCTTTGTGCCCCTTCTCTGAGGTCCTGCCCCTGCTCACTCCATAGTCCCTCCCTCCTCCATCACTTTCACCAGGCAGGGGCAGAAGGTTGGGGTCTTGGATTAAGGGCTCTTGGAGCATGAGAAGGGCTCTTGGAGCAGGCCGTTGGGATGCCAGAGGGGGTTCTAGGTGCAAGCTCTGGGAAGGTATTTGGATGCAGGGTGCTCAGGGTTAGGGCAGGAGCTTGGAGTGCAGGAGGGGGTTCATTATTGGGGTAGTGTTTTCGGGATGTGGGATCCAGCTGGGCCCTGCTAATTTTTTCAGGATGTGGGATCCAGCTGGGCCCTGCTAACCTTAGGTGGCTCCTGGGTGGTGGTGCAGTGGGGCTAAGGCAGGCTCACCCCTGCCCTGGCTCTGCACCACTGCCAAAGCAGCCAGCAAACTCCACCCCAAGTCCTGTTGTGCCCCCTCTCTGCTCTGTGGAGATAGGATACAGAGTGGGAGGAGGCACCTTGGCATCAGCACCTTCCTCTCCCTCTCCTGCCCTGCACAGTGAGCAGGAAGCTCCTGAGGGGCAGCTCTAAATCAAAGGGCAGGAGATGAGCAGCTCAAGTGTGGGCACTTGATAGCCTCTTGGCCAAACCAGTCAGGATCACCTGTCGGAGGCTAGCAGAGGTCACAGTAGAACCCTGGCCCCTTCCCGCCTCCAAGGAGTCATGCCTGATGTTCTGGCTGCTTCCCCCCTTTCCCCTGTACACAGTACAGTGGCTGGGGAAGAAGATCCCTCCCTGCTAGGACCAGTAGGAAGAGGCACTTTCCCACCAGCCATAGCTGCTCCCTACTGGGGCCAGCAGCAAAATGTCCCTCCCCACCAGCTGCAACAGCTTTGGGGCATGGAGAGAAGCATCTCTTACTGCTGTAGCCCTGAGTCCCTGCACAGGGCTTAATGGGAAGGTGCATGGCCACACAGCTTAATGGAACTTAGGTCAGAGATGATAGACTACAGTAATGAAGGTTTTGGGTTTTTTTAAAAATAGCACGAAGAAAGACTTAAGAACTGGGGATAATTAGGGTAAAGAAAGTTTCATATTTTCTCTAAAGTATAAAACTAGAGTGGCACTAGGCATATAGTTTTTCTATCTTGAATACAGCTGCAAGAGATTTAAAATAAGGCAACATTTGCTGAGGGAGGGAACACAAATGGCTAGGATAGGCTGTGCAATTAGCTTCAGGGGACAGAGTCATTGTTCCATCTAATCTTTTCCATCCCTGGGCAGAATAAGTTTGTGCACCAAGGCATGTGTGAATGTGCACCACAAGTAGAAATAAAAAACTTATCTGTAGGTGTTCTGCTAATTAGCTGGGTGGCATTTGAATCTGTCCTGAGTGGCTACACATGCATACAGTTTACAGGGAACACCAGCACAGAGTCCACATCCACATGGACAGAGGGCTGATGGTTCAGTTGTGTGCAATACAACCCTACTGAACTAGAAATGATACCGGAGGTTTCCAATGACTTCATCTATACTATGATATTAAAACAGGGTAATGCTGTCATCCAGCATGTTGTGTTAAATGCAGGTTATACCTTGTAAGTCTGGCACCCACAGGACCCAAGCCATCCCAAACAAGGGAGTTTGCTGGACCAGCAGAGGTCAGGGCTCTCCAGGGGACTGTCGGCCCCACTACCGGACTAGAGGGTCAACCTGTTAGTAAAAGGGCAAATATGAATTAAGTTTATCACCACTCTTTTTACAAAGTGGCTCATCATGTTAGATACCAGTAAAAAGTATACCAATTAGCATATTTTCTTTACATTCATTTTATTTTATTGCCTAGTATCTTCCAATACTGATCTTTATGAAAGCAAGAGATTTATTTATGTTTAAAACCCACACAGGGTGGAGTCCTGATGCCAGGTATTCAGAGCATTTTCTTCAAGAAGCTAAATTACTTCACTGGAATGGAAGGTATAAACCTTGGGAATACCCTAGTGTTCACAACGACCTTTGGGAAAACTGGTTTATCCCTGATCCATCAGGGAAGTTCAAAATGATTCGTCCCAATAGCTGATATTGAAAGACATCTAAGGTGTTTATGATTTTTAAAAAACAAAATCAGTTTCCAGCAAGATCAATGTTTATTCTATTTCTGTACCATAATTTGCAGTAGTTTATCTTCTGTGTAATATGTGATAACTATTTTTTAATCAGTTTGTGCAACTGATTTTATAAATCTAACCCTAAGTATTTGTTAAGCTTCACCCTAAAATTAAAATGAGTTAATGTGCTGGTTTAGAGGGTAAAACGTACAAACTTCAGATTAGCTTGAGTTTCTAGTAACATTGTGAGATACTAGTTTACTTGATTAAAAACATTAAGATGTTTACAAAGATGAAAAAACAGGACTAAACAGAATGGGTTTTAATGCAATATCTTATATTCTCTAAAGATTATAGTTGCTTGCTGAATCTAACCCAGTAGTATTTACAATGTTGAGTACAAGATTCGTTGTCTTTCTAGTCCCATTTTTTTTTAAAAAGTGACATTGAAGTCAATTAAATATTTCAGTAGGTCTAATTTTCTTACTCAGTGCAGCCACTTAATACTTCTTTTCATAGTGACACTATGCATCAAATGTTTACATTTTGAGGAGATCTGATTATGATGCAAAAGAGCAAAATATCACACTAACACAAAGATATTCCAATACAATTCCTAACTTTATTGTGTAACGGTAGATTTTCAACAGGGGTTTAAAACCTCCATGTTAGAGCACCAATTTGAGAGATACTATGGCAAATGTATGACAGTTTCATTGCACACACATTAACTCTACTTTATACCTACATAATTTAGTAGGCACCTGTTAAAAAGCAGAACTTTTACCTTCAAATTAAAAAAGCCATCTTTACGGAAGTTATCTACTCAGCAATAGTAGTTACATGCTTCACATACTTTTGTTGAAAAATAAATTGAATTGTTAAAAATCCCTGATGCAAGGCACTTTTTGAGCACCTGCAGGAACATGTCCATGTAAACAGTGATACATGATACAGTACATTTTAAATAACAAATGAACGATTTCCATATATCTTTGACCATATAATGAACAGCTTTATACTGAGGCTAACAAATATGACCAGAATCACAATGCACATATTGTCTTGATTTTAAAAGTTTTCTAGGATTAAGACACACAACCGGGGAAGAGAACTCTAAACATCATGTCAGCCTCCCACTGAGTTGGCAGTATGCTACCTGTGTGGGAGATCCAGAGTTGTTAGCAGGCTACGGTTCTACATTACCAGGATCAACTTAATGCATGATGGCAACTGCCAAAGTGTGGACGAAGGATAAAATCCCTGGTAGTGTAACATCTGACCAGTCTGGATTAAGAGATACAGTTTTTGCCTATTTCAAGTATACAAAGCACCTACTCATAAGATTACCAAAACATTAAATGTTTTGATCAACTTATTGCTTTCACTTTAAGCCACATCTTCCCCTCTCTATTCAAAA